TTTTGAGACAGTCTCTCTCTGTTGCCCAGGCTGGAGTGCAGTGGTGTGATCTTGGCTCACTGCAACCTCCACCTCCTAGGTTCAACTGATTCTTGTGCCTCAGCCTCCAGAGTAGCTGGGACTGGGGGGGAAGGGCACCACTGTGCCCAGCTAATTTTTGCATTTTTTGGTAGAGACAGGTTTCACCGTTTGGCCAGGCTAGTCTCAAACTCCTGGCCTCAAGCAATCTACCCGCCTTAGCCTCCCAAAGTGCTGGGATTACAGGCGTGAGCCACCGTACCTGCTCTTGACTGTATTCAATTATAAATAAGGCTAATTTTTTCTTTCCATAAAATCAAGCTTCTGCAGGAAGGGCTAAATACTTTTCTCTTACTTATTGAACATTGTTTATTGTGAATTGCTTGTCTTAGGCATTTTCCTAAGGGAGTGTAAGTTTTTTTCTTTTTCTTTTTAGACAGTCTCCATCTGTTGCCAGGGTGAAGTGCAATGGTGAGATCTCAGTTCACTGCAACCTCCGACTCCCTGATTCAAGCGATTCTCCTGCCTCAGCCTCCCTGGCAGGGTAAAAATCTTACTAGAAAGTGAATCACATATGATGCAAGTACTTTCTCTCAGTTTGTCATTTAAGGATTTTTAAGTTTTGCCATAAAAAAGCTTTTCATTTTTATGTACTCAAATTTATCAGATTTTTCCTTGTAACTTCTGGGTTTTCTGTTATGTTTAAAGCCTTTTCCCACCTCAATGAATTACCATCATATGAGTAATACTATTAAAACAAACTCCTAGGCGTGCATTTTCTGCTTTGGATTTAAATTTGCTAACTCAGCATTATGCTACTCTGGGTTGAGTTTCATTTAGCATTTAACATCCCCTAAGACACAGCTTTTATGTTCTTCAATATTCTGTATATTGTCATAGAATTTTATTTGGATCTCCAAAATGAGTTGCTTTATTTTCTGACCTGCTGAAATCTCAAGTTAGTTTGATATCAAATGAAGGTACAGTTGAAGTACTGTTTTGTAGTTAGAGAGGAGTAAATACTTCTACCACCACACATAAAACTGGTAATGCTTTTTACTTAGAGATAGATTCCCATTTTTACACATTAATTTTAAAGAAAAAGGTGAGGTTGAAAAGTGTTAAGACTTATACACAGTAGTACTGAGAAGTCTACAACTGTAAGAAACAAGGCAGAACAATTAATTTCAACTATCCACTGGCATCTTTTACACACAAACCTGTGTCTTTTAGTAGCATGTAATTTTTAAGTACCAAAACCAGTTTTTCCATTCTTACCATCCTTACAAATGTGAAAAATTAGCATAATTACACGGCACAATATAAAATATCATAAGATGATAGATTTGGAAAATATTTCGTATTTCTCAAAAGTCTGATCCAGAGATTCTGGGTTCAAAATTTTCAAATAAACAGCACCAATATTTTGCTGATGATTTCAAAAGACCAAAATATCTAACAAAATATGTATTAAATGAAGCATTAAAATAGTTTTATTGTCTTTAACACCCTATGAAACAGCTATCATCACTGTCCACATTTTAAAACATAAAAATAAAAAACCAAAGCACTGAGCAGTCACCTTAAGTCATGTTCTTTAAATTGCCAAACACAAACTTCCACAATTTATTACAAAAGAAGCATGGTGAGTACAAGGAAAATACCAGATTACCTTGTTCAATGTTCTTAAACTGCAAATTATTTAATTAAGGAAAATACATCTTTTCTTTGAGGCTGCCTAGCCTGAAGCTCAACAGAGTGCTGCAGTAAAGCACCAGGTCCCAAAGGTATTCTCAGAGAATCTGCAGTTATCATGCTGTAAAAATATTCAAAGCAATCACTACCCTATTTCTGGGATGAATATGCAGAATCCTCTCAAACAGGGCCCAGTTTTTAACACAAATAATGGTGGTGTTATACGTTAGCAGTGGCAAGAAGGAATGGCTGGAATTAGGTAGCCCATGGGTAACTGAAGCAGCTTGTGCTGAAGAACATCACGTTTGGTTTAGTTAAAATTAAGGTTTAAGATCTAGCATATGATCATTACTACAGAGTTCTGTATCTGGATTGCAGCTGTTAAGGAGGAAAGTAAACCATACTTAATGTCAAAAGATTTTTAAGCCCAGGCTCTGGCAACCACTTACCGGCTGCCTACCAAGAGCAAAACACTTAACCTCTATGACCCTGTTTCCTGGTTTGTAAAATGAGAATAACGCCACCCAGCTCTGAGGAATGTTTGAAGGTCAGGTTAGATAATACCAGTGAAAATGCTTTGCAAAAGTAAAGTACGAGACAAATGTAAAATATGGCTATTTATTGCTAAGAACAAAATGCAGCCTTTATTGCCACTCCCCTTTTGTAGGAATAAAGCAACAGATGGCTTGTAATTCAGAAAGGCTTGGTAAGGACCTCACCATCAGTTTGCCCTCAGCAACACTTCAAAAGCACTAGCCTGCTTAAGACCGAGCGGTAGAATTACCTCATTAACAAAATTTGCCAAGTTGCAATTACTTAAAAAATTCTTTTATGCATAAATGCATCTCACTCTGATGATGTAAGTGAAGATGGAGGAATGAAAGATACTTTTAACACTCCATCCATATGAAACAAAGACAATGATTTCAAAAGTCTCTTTTGCAAACGTCTCATCACTTTTTACAGTCATCTTCAATACCTTCTCGTTTATTACTGGAAAATTTTAGGACACGATTTAAGCATCACCACTTTCATGACAATTTCTGGTAATGGTTTCAAGGTCTGACATTTGAAACCCTGTCTCCTTCGCTTGGATGTCATTTACTACAGACAGTTCACGATCCTGTGGACCCTAGGGTGCAGTAGAAGTGACAACATAAAAGTACTCTGCATTTTGTAATAAGGGGAAACTGAGGCCCACGCCTTGGCACAGGTCCAAGGTCACATACGACGAGACTTGGAGACAGCAGAGCTGTTTTTCGAAGGCTGTCGCATAGGACGCAGTAAACCAGTACTCATAACCCAAGACAAACAGCGGGCAAAGAGCCGCATGCTCACACAGCTTTGCTTCCCTGCCTCACTCGGGTGCAACACTGAGTCCTCGCTAGGGGGACTGCTCCGCTGTCAACTCAGAGAAGTACCATTTCCTTCCCCTTCCCACCACGTAAAGATGACCCTTTGAGGGATGAAACCGGAGTTCCCAAAATCACATACTCGACCCATGGCCTCTGCGCGCCTGCCCGTTCCCCGGGGCACGTCTCAGCCCGCAGAGCCGTCCCGGGACGCAGAGTACCCTATTCCCTTACCAAGGAGCCGGAGAAAGATCTGGAGCACGATGCAGAACCGGCTTTGGCTGGAATCGGGGTAGGAGTTGAAGATGGCGTCGATGATGTAAAGGCAGGGCACCCGGAGCGCCACTTCGAGCGCCGCCCAGACCTGCTGATGGGCCATTCGCACCTGCTGCTGCGGGGGCCCCACCGCCGCCATGAGCCGCTGCCACACCGGGGCTGGGCGGGCCGGGTAGAGCCGCGGGCCGCGGCCGGGGGCGGGAGCTAAGGCGGGCAACTCCGCCCCCGCCCTCCTTCCTCTCGTGTCTCTCTCACGGCCCGCCCCGCCGCCCGCTCGCGTCCCTCGAGCTGGAGCAGGCGGCGGAGGCGGCGGTGGCTGAGAAGGCGGCGGCGGCTCCCCAGGAGGTCTCTGGGTGTCGGTGTTTCCGGCTGGCTAAGGTCTGACTCCTCCTCCCTCCACCGCCTCCCCCGCCCGCGGAGCCACCATCTTGACCTCGCCCGCCGGCCTCTGCCGTTGCTGCTTTGGCGAGGCCCGGCGGCTGCGCCCGCGGTCACGCGAACCGCAGAATCCACGCCCACTGCCTGCGTCATAATCCAGCGCTGGGGACGCTCACCCTGTCGTCATCACGCAGGGTTGCCATGGTTTCCGCCCATCTCCGTAGCTAACGCTACCGTCTCCCCGTAGCGCATGCGCTTTTCGGTAGCCGCACTTTCCCGCCTCAGGGTTATGGCTTCATCCCCGCAGAGCCGGCTTAGCAAGGTAGTCGGTGCTTCCGCCGGGCAAAATTATTAGTAGTTTTATTAGAGCCCATTAAACGTTGCATAAACATGGTTCAGAGTTGCGTGGGAGGAGAAAAGCCAAAGGATGCCGCCCTCTCGACCTGTTCCACCCCGCCTGGAGGCCGGGTGTGAAAGCCGACGCCAAGAGAAATCCCGTGAAGGCCGCCCGGGATCCTGGTAGAGGCGGCGCTGTGTGCGTTTATGGAGCGCTTGCTGTGCGTGGCACTGGGCTGGGTGTGGTGGGCGCCGCAGAGAAAAACGTTCCTCCCATCCCTTTGCACATCACTCTTATCACCTCCTGCCCAGATAGACAAAAGTGAGGACATTCATCGGCCGCGTTTTACCAATGGCAAGCAGTTAGTGACTGAAGGCCAAGAACCTAGGGTTTGCTGTCTTCGATTTCTCATCTTTGAGGTAAGTACACCTGGACAGTTCCTTCCTGCTCAGGGCTCATGCTTTCTTTACTGTCCATGTAATTAATATGATCTGGCTATCTTTATCTTTTTTTGGAAACTTCAGCAGCAAATGATAGTGTAAGTTAGGTCTGAGGCTGCACTATAGACCTAGCTATCCTTGCTTAAGGGGGATAAAATGGGAAGCAAGAAGCCTGGCCCACTTGGGCTCCCAGCTCAAGTGCATTCTGCAGTCCAGTTTATATCAGGCCTCCGTGTGGGTGGTTATCCTTTATCAAGATCCCCCCGTAAGGGGAGGAGGATTGTTAGTCACATTATCAAACTCTCCTCCAACCCCTTTCTCTGCTTGGAGGTATGTGTAATGTGTAATAGAAAGATCGAATCCCACCCCAAAATCCTTACTCCTACTCTTGTTCTTAACCTTCTGTTCTTATCCTCTACCCTACTCCCTAATAATGACCGACGTTTATCTACTGCTTAATGGATACTAGGCACTGTGCCAAGAGTTTTATATTTTATTTCAATCCTTTCATCGGCTTTACTTTGATAGTTTTACAGAGGAGGAAACTGAGATTTAGATAAGTTACAAGATGACAAGTTGACTACCTTGTTCAGTTGGTAGTCAGCAATTAGTATATCCAAAGATAAATCGAAACTAAGTTAAACCCAGAGCTACCTGAAGCTCACAGCTTCAGGCATCTTTGATTTCTTCCTTTCACTCACAGCCAATTTTGCAACTAAATTGTATCCATTCTGTCTTCACCATCTCTTGTACTGGTCTCGTTTCTGTTGTCACTGTCATTGTCCTAACTCAAGATCCTTCTGTGGCTTTCTGCATTTATTGCATAACCTCATTATGATTGCCACTGTTTCTAATCCAGTCCGTTTACTGCCGGGTTAATTTCCCCAAACTGCATGTCTGGGGAATAACCTTGTGGTTATGACGAAATTCCCAAAGGAATGCAGACTTGTCAAGGCGCAAAGACTATGAAGACTTAGAACTTCAGAGATCTATGGAGATCTTCAGAGATATAAATTAGCTACTCAACCTATCTATTCTGCCCTGATTACACTGTAAAGCAAAAGGAGAGAGGCCCTTATGGGGAAAAAGATCCAGAAGGACTCATCTAAACCACAAGTTGCATAGAGGAGATAGGTAAGTTCTATTATATTATATTCATGGAAAGTAAGTTGATGGGCTTTCCTCTAATTTTTATTTTAAAATAAATGTAAATATGAAATAAAATTATGTGTAATGAACAAATGTTTCAGTCTTTATTAATGTTTTGACTGTCTCTGATCTTAATTTGATGTACAAATTTTATTAGTATAAGAGTTTCTGAGACTAAGTTCCGTCTTGGGCCAAGAGCTTTCAGGAGTGGTGGCAGAGTCTTATCTTTTTCACACAGCTTCTCCAAACAGGCTCTCTGCCAAGCTTTTTCAACCCACCTTATTTTGTTATTGTTGTGTTCTGTTTTGTTTTAGGTTTTTAATAGGCTGAAGCCATGGTTTTTAGTTTCTGTCTCTAGTGATAAGCGGAAAAGAGGATGAGGAAGGGTATTTACTGGCCCAACCAGAAACGGAAACTAAGAACCCATAACTATATTCTCTCCCTTGGACTCCCCTGTGTGAGCTCTCTTTCTCTGTCTATAAAATGAAGGTTTGAATAAGATCTTGGCAAGTGTGTTAAAATGCTATGTTAAAACTAAATTTATAGTAATGAGGTAATTTTTAAGATGCTGAGAAATTTTTAAGATAAAAGATGTTTCCAGCTGGATGTGGTGGCTCATGCCTGAAATCCCAGCACTTTGGGAGGTGGAGGAGGGTGGGTCGCTTGAGCCCAGAAGTTCAAGTTTGTAGTAATGTCATAGCAGCAATAGGAAATTAATATAACCACATACTCTTACTCCCAGTGAGCCATGTGGCGAGTTTGTGCTTCTCATCCCCACAACTTTGTGAGTCTAGAAGTTCTGATTCCCAAGAGGGGAACTTTTTCATTAACAGACACAATAATTCTTTAAACTTCAAGATGGAAGATTCAGTATTGTAAAGATGTTGACCTATAGATTCTATGTAATCTCAATTAAAAAAAACCTCAGTAGGTTCTTTTTTCCAAAAATAAAAAAAACTGATTGTAAAATTCCTAAGAAACTGTAAAATGTCAAGAATAGCTAAGGCAGTCTTAAAAAACAAAGTTGAAGGATTTATACTGTGAGACATCAGGACCTATTCCAAGCTATAGTAAAGAAGAAAAGATAGTATTGGTGCATGGATAGAAAAACTGACCCATGGAACAGAACAGAAAGTCTACAAAAACTCCACACGTATAGAATCACTTGATTCATTAGAAAAGTGACACTACAGTGCAGTGGGAAACGGATGACAAAAAGCCAACAGTATAACAGGACTCTGGATACTGTATATCGCTTAATAGTGAAACATGCTGAAAGCATTCTCCCTAAAGTTAGGAGCAAGGCAAGGTTGCTCACCGTTGCCACTGTTATTTAACATTGTGTTAGAGGTGGGGAGTGGGAATAAAGCAAGTTAAAATGCTTCCCTGTTTCCCAAGATTTAGCTGTTTTTCTCAAATAAAGGCACCTCAGATTGTAAGCTTTTAAATTCTAGAGTTCTGAAAAAGTTGACTTTGACCATTTTTGCCCATGTTCTCATTGCTTTTGTAGAGGAGCCAGTATTTGGAGATCTTTACCCTGCTGTTTTGGAAGTGGTCCATTTTACTTGATATTGGGAAGTTTCAAGAGACCACTGTACCTTGAGTATAAAATATAGGTATATTCCTTCCTGCCATCATTGTGTAACAATAATGCTTCTTCCTCCTGATGAATGAATTCAATTACCCCAACCAACATGGTGACTCTTCCTTACCTGCTGGTCTTCTGGCACAGGGACCCTGAAGTGACTGGGAAACCTCAGCAAGTTAAAACTTGAAGGATCTGTTATTGTGTCTCTTGATGAAAAAGTTCTTCTCTTGGGAATCAGGACTTCTAGACTCACAAATTCCCTACATGGCTCACTGGGAGTGAGAGTATGTGGTTATATTAATTTCCTACCATTCCCATGACATTACTACAAATTTAGTGGTTTCAGACATCACAAATTTATTTTCTTATAGTTCTGGAAGCCTAAAATTAAGGTGTCAACAGGACTGTTTTTCCTGAAGTCTTCAACAGAAAGTCTGTTTCCTTGCCTTTTTCAATTTCTAGAGGCTGCCTACATTTCAATGGCTCATGGCCCCTTCCTCGCATCCCTCCATCCTCCTGCTTAAGTTATCACATCTACTAAGCAAACCTGCCTCTCCCTTGCAGGAATCTTTATGATTATATTGGACCTATTGGATAGTCCAAGATAATCTCTGTATCTTGAGATCCTTTTACCATGAAGGTAACATATTCATAGAATCCAGTTAGTAGGATATGGTCATATTTGGGGGCCATTATTCAGCCTACTACACAGTGGGAATTCTATTTATGTCCTTTCGTTCCCTGTTGCTATTCACTCAGGGTGGTTGGCAAAATATTACAGAAAATATTTAGGGAAAGTTATAGATTATAGTCTCAAACCTTTTAGAAGGCCAAAGGGTTTTATTGAGGCAGGTTGAAGGCAGCCATCTCTTTCCTATGCTCTGTTTACTCATGTTAATTTTGTGCTGGGTGGAGGATCAAAGGAGAATTACCTAGTAATAGTATTTACTCTGGGCCCCAGAACCAAAAGCTTTTACCTGTGGTAAAACTACTCTTTTAAACCATGTTAATTACCCACAAATGTGTTAACTTAGAACCTCTGTTGTAAAATCTTTTTTTTTTTTTGAGATGGAGTTTTGTTATTGTTGCCCAGGCTGGAGTGCAATGGCGCCATCTCAGCTCACTGCAACCTCCACCTCCTGGGTTCAGGCAATTCTCCTGCCTCAGCCTCCTGAGTAGCTGGAATTACAAGCATGTGCCACCATGCCCAGCTAATTTTGTGTTTTTAGTAAAGACGGGGTTTCACCATATTGGTCAGGCTGGTCTCGAACTCCCGACCTCAGGTGATCCACCTGCCTCGGCCTCCCAAAGTGCTGGGATTACAGGTGTGAGCTGCCATGCCCAGCCCTGTTGTAAAATCTTGAGGGAATAAATGTGTGGACAGACAGAGGGTCTGGATCAATTGGTTGTATTTCGCCCTCTGAAAGAAGCCAACAGCCATCCCTAGCCCACTTGAAACA